TGCGTACAATCCTGTACACGCCCCTGATTGTATTGACATTGTATCCATCTTGCTGCTATTCATTGTGAAAGGTCCAAAAATTATGATCACGAACCCACCCAGAAAAATCTGGATCACCCCTGTACCTCTGGTTATAATAATAATATATATAATACAACTAAAAAAACAGACATCCAAATACAGGTACCTATACGGTAGCCACACGTTACCTGCTCGTTTTCTACTATACGTGGCGAGAATGGTTTTCTGCCGACGATTGAAACAGTCGTAGGGGGCTGGAGGGGCTACATCGTGGCTGGTCTACGTCTAAGTAATTTGGCTAGTTTGTTGATGGATTGTGATGATATTTTTGTGCTGAATATGCGGTACTATGGTATTAATCTCTAGGGATGGAAATCAGAATAATAAACAAGATTTTTATTTACCATCGATCAACTTTATTTATTAATCTGTGGGTAGTGTTGGTTGTTGCGATGAAAAGAATGTAATACCTGACGAAGCCATTGAATGACATGAAGGTGAGATGTGATATCATAATTGACATGACTCCCATTTTCGTTTTGGATTTACTCGTGATGAGGATTTGGTCATGAATTCCAGATACACCCAAGAGGTATGATGAGAGCCCTCAGGAGCTCTCCCAATCTCCTTTTAAAGGTGTGAGATTTTTAGTGGAGCTCTCCATCATGCCTTCTATAGGGTGTGATTATTAGTGGACTCTCCTGCTGCTCTTAAGGATATGTGATTATGGAGCGTGAAAAATGTCCCCATTGGTGTCCTAGAGGGAGTCATTAGTAAGTCTCCACTTACTTTTCAAATCTGGAAGCCTGCACAGACAATGATGGTGATGATGACACAAGACATGATAGAGTGGGAAATGATGCGGATGATGACACAGACAATGTGTGATGCTTGTGTATGATGACACAGACATGGATGGTGAGATGCTGCTGATGATACACAGACAATGGATGGTGATGTATGCTTGATGTAGAACGGACAATGATGTTGTGCTGCTGATGATGACAACAGACAGTAATAAATGGTGGATGATGTGATGATTTGAACACAGGACAATGATAAGGTGATTGATGAGGGATTGATGACGCAGACAATGATTGGTGATTGAGGGCTGATGATGGACACAGAATCATGATGGTGATGATGCGAATTGAGACCAGACAATGCATGAGTGAATGATGCTGATGAATGATTACAGCAATTTGCATGGGTGATGAATGCCTGATTTGGATGCACACAGACAATGATGGGATGAATGATGTGATGATGCAACAAGACAATGATAGGTGATGATGACTTGATGTGACACAGACAATGATGGTGATGATGCTGATGATGACACAGACAATGAATGGTGACGATGCTATGGTGATGCTGCCTGATGGATGGACATCAGACAATGATAGAGTAATGAATGCTGATGATGACACAGTACAATGATGGTGCAATGCTGCATGGTGTTGATGCTGCTGATTGATGACACAGACATATGATGTTGATGTAGCGGAATATGACACAGACAATGATGGGTGATCGATGGCGGCGATGTGACACCAGACAATGATAGCGTTGACTGTTGATGACTGATGGACACAGACAATGATGTGATGTTGCTGATGATTGAACACAGGACAATTGATGGTGATGATGCTGATGATGACAGGGACAATTGATGTGACGTTTGTGATGATGACCAGACAATGATCGGTAGATGATGCTGATTGTCATGACACAGACATGATGGTGATTGATGTTTAATGATGACACAGACAATGATGTGATGATTGTCGATGATGAACGAGAGACAATGATGGGTGATGGATGTGATGATGAACAGACAATGATGGTGAATGATGCTGATAGATGAAACAGACAATGATGGTGATGATGCTGATGATGATACAAGACAATGATTGGTGATCGATGTATGAAATGACACAGACAATGATAAGTAGATGATGCTTGATTGATGACACAGACAATTGAATGGTGATGATGCTGATGATGACACAACAATGCATAGTGATATGGCTGATTGATGACACGACAATGATTGGTAATGCAATGCTGATGTATGACACGACAATGATAGGTGACGATGCTGATGGTGCATGCTGCTGATGATGCACAGACAATTGCATGGTGATGATGCTGATGATGAACATAGACAATGATGGTGATGGTTGCGGATGATGACACAGAAGCAAAATGATGGTGAATGCTGCTAGATGATGAACACAGCACAATTGATGGTAGAATGGCTTGCGTGATGATGACACAGAACAAATGATGGTGATGATTGTGATGATGCACACAGATAATGAGGTGATGCTGCTGATGATGACACAGACATGATCGGTGATGATGCTGTGATAGACACAGACAATTGATGGTGATGATGCTTGATGATGACACCAGACATGATGCGATGATGCATGCAGATGATGACGCAGACAATGATGGTGATGATAGCTGATGACTGAACTCAGACAATGATGGTGATAGATGCTGATGATGACACAGACAATGATTGGTGATGATCGTGATGATGATTAAGACAATGATTGGTTTGATGATGATGTGATGACACAGACAATGATGGTGATGTTGCTGATGATGACACAGACAATGATGGTGATGATGCTGATGATGACACAGACAATGATGGTGATGATGCTGATGATGACACAGACAATGATGGTGATGATGCTGATGATGACGCAGACAATGATGGTGATGATGCTGATGATGACGCAGACAATGATGGTGATGCTGCTGCGGCTGTTGTTGCTGATGTGATGATAGTAATGATGATGAGGACATGAAAGGTGATGCTCATAACGACACATAATTGTGATGAAGATGGTGATCATGATAAATATGATGATGACAACGATAATTGGCCTTTTACCACATTATCAGGGGGCCGTTGTCAGAAACATCGTAAAGTTAATGCTAATTAATGCTAAGATAACACTTACGACTAATGTTAATGTTAAGAGAAGAGCGTTGACAGAAACACATCGCAGCTATTAGAAAACGTACGATAACAGGAACTTCATCACAAGGCTGCTGATTGGATGAGAATCGATCACAAAATTCAAATTCATACACAGTTATTGTACATCACAGTAATTTATGCATATTATGATGACTAACCACATATACATAATAGTTGATGAAAAACGACACGTTCTTGAATTTATTCTGCACAACAAGACAAATTCTCACACTGTAACACGAGACGCAAGAGTCGTGGTCAGTGTCAAAGTATTTAAAACAAGAGAACAAATGCCATACACCATTTGTAAATGTTTTGTTTTGTTTTACGATCGGTAGATAAATAATGTTTTTGACATGTTTTTTCAAGAAAAACACATATTACTCATTAATTTTAAAATATTATAATATCACTATAATTGTAATTTTTAGTCTAAATGTGTTATTTTCATCTTAATATTAAAGTTATGAGAGGGTCTGCACTCTCGTAATGTTAAGAGGATATTTTCGAGGATTTTTCATTCTCGTAAGTTTGCGATGTTTCTGTCAACGGTTTACGAGTGGAAGTTAATGTTAAGACTAATGTTAAGACAAATTCTGTTTCTGACAACGGGCCCCAGGACATTTCACGAACGTAATTTTACTCGTATGCGAAATGCAGGCATCTGGCGGCCGTGGGGGAGGACCAGGTGACGACGCCCCCCTCACCAGACCTCGACGAATCATTGCGCGACCTGGATGACACGCTCACCAATCAGACGTCGGCCGACGACGGAGAGGTGCGCACGCGCGTGATGAAACGCTTCATCTCCCGAAAGCGACCGAGCGATGGCGAGACAGCCTGCAGGGGGGGCGGCAGCCACGAGGTGGCGCCAACGTGGGAGATACGCGGCCCGACGGACGAGCTCCCACACGTGGACCAATCAGACGCCGCGTCCTGCAGCGATGGCCAATCGGAGCGCTTGTTTGAGGCGGACGTGGAATCGGATGCTGAGGCCGATATCTCGGACGGATTGAGCGACATCGTCAATGATGGGAACGACAATGATGAGCATAGAGCCAGCGAGGGAGAGGTTGCTGCCGGTTCCGCGGCGACAGATTATGCTGTGACGGCCCAACACCGCGATAGTTTCAGTGACAGCAGCTCTTGGGGTAAGAATTTACCAGTGTGAACATTTTGGAAATAACTTTGGAAATTTGTCACACGGTACCATAGAATGACAAAAAAACAACAATTTTATTTATGATACTGATAGCAAAGGTACTATGTAATTGTCATAGTAATGGTAATTTAATTGTCATAGTACAGTCAACCCTCCAAATTCAGAACGACCTCAAAACCCAATCTCACATTAAACCGGATGATGTTTTTAGGTCCCAGCACCATCTGAGACATGTAAGATGCCGCCCTATAAACCAAACTTCACAGAAAGTCTAACTAAATGGACTGTCTTGAGGGTGGTCAGTATTGGAAGAGTTCACTGTACACTGATTACCATTACACAAATGACCTAATTACACAAGTGTTCTATCTCTCGTCGTGGCAGGAGAAACCAGCACGGTTGCCATGGCGAACCTCGACAACAGCAGCTTGTCGGAGGCTGCAGATGCGAGCGAGACTGCCTCGGCGTTCACTGCTCCGGCGATGCTGTTTAGCAACCTCAGGAAACCGCCAGTGCAGGCTCACAAACACACGCCAACGAGCACACAGATGGTAACATACATAATGAACGTGGATTATCATGTGAGATAGGAAGAGAGAGAGGTAGAGAGAGAGAGAGAGAGAGAGAGAGAGAGAGAGAGAGAGAGAGAGAGAGAGAGAGAGAGAGAGAGAGAGAGAGAGAGAGAGAGAGAGAGAGAGAGAGAGAGAGAGAGAGAGAGAGGGGGAGAGGGAG